CAGAGGTAGACCATACAACAAGCAGGACACTAAGTGATTCTTGCCATGTCAACTTGGGCTCGTCTGAGTTGGAGGTTGGACAATTTAAGCGGTATATAAGCAGTTTTGTGGATTAGTGTGGAGTGTCCCAACCTTGGCACTTTGAACTCCCAGAATTCCCTGGCTAGCTATGGGGAATTGACCTCCATGGGTCTTAAAGTGGCCATGGTTAAGAAATGCTAATGAGAAAGGAAAGCAACGAAAGGTATAAAATTGAAAATAGTTTATTGGTTTTCACAGGAAAATATCGGACCCTTAACCTGATGGGATTGATGATGTAGACTTTCAAGGATTGAGAAACAAGGAGTCTCTTGTAGTCAAGACATTTCTCAACTTAATTCCAAGAGCCATGGCATCCCTAATGAAAACTGGCTCTCACTAAATCCTCATCATGCAAAGGAACTGTGCTTTGAACAGTTTAGATTCTTCCATTTTTTAAATCCTGAAAGAGAAAAGCGAGAGGAGGTTGGGCATTTGTCTCTCTCGCCACATTTACCTTTGCATAGAAGAAGCATATCCCATTACCCCCCCCCCCCCCCATTTTAAGCATTCAGAGCAGGATGACCCTAGCCATGAACTTTATGAGGGCTTCACAATTTATCCCGTTCTTGTAGGTTAGGGTTAGGGTTGTAGATGGAATATTAGAGATGGAATACTCATCTGTAATGATCTAAGTGCTAGAGACCACTGTAACTACATAGTCAAAAAGGCATTAAGAATCGTTAACCTAATCCTATGTAGCTTTTTCTCTGGTAATATCACACTACTAATTAGAGCATACAAAACGTTTGCTAGACCAATACTTGAATACAGCTCATCAGTCTGGAACCCACATTACATATCTGATATTAACACAGTTGAGAAAGTCCAGAAATATTTCACAAGAAGAGTTCTCCACTCCTCTACTCGTTGTAGAATACTTTATGCCACCAGATTTGAAATTCTAGACCTAGAAAACCTAGAATTACGCCGCCTTCAGTCCGATCTAAGTATAGTATATAAAATCATACATTGCAATGTCCTACCTGTCAATGAATACTTCAGCTTCAACCATAACAATAACCATAACAAGAGCACATAATAGATACAAACTCAAGGTTAATTGCACCAAACTTGATTGCAGGAAATACGACTTCAGCAACAGAGTGGTCAATGTTTGGAATACTCTACCTGACTCTGTGGTTTCTTCCCCAAACCCCCAAACCCTTAACCTTAGACTGTCTACTATTGACCTCATCCTTTCCTAAGAGGTCTGTAGGGGGCGTGCATAAGCGCATAACATGCCTACCGTCCCTGTCCTATTGTTTCATCACTGACTGCAGCCTTCAGTTTAAGGCCTTCCCGGCTGATTTCACTGTACCTTATAATTACATCATTTTCCCAGTCTTTGCAACCTGTAGGTCATATTCTACCAACAACTTATTGCCTGGATTGGGTTTTTGGTACAGTGGAACATACTATATTCTAAGGGATGCATGGCAATGGGATGAGGAAGAGGGGGAGAAGGAGAAGCAGGATGAGGAGGAAGAGAAGGAACGAGGAGCGGGAGAAGGAGGATAAATGGTGAGGGAGGGATGGTGGTGGTAGTGGTGGTGATGGAGAAGAAGGAGGAAAGGGTGGTGGTGGTGGAGGTGGAGAGGGGGGGGAAAAAGGGGAGGGGGAGGAGAAATGGGAGGAGGTAGAAAGGAGGAATTTGAAGACCAGCCCATTTGAAGTTTGGTCTTTGAGGACAATTCTCACTCCTTCCCAACCTGTTGCATATTAGAAGGAGCAACCATGTTTCTTTCCTATAAGACTTCCACAATGGCTTCCAACCCCATCATTCTTTGGATGGGTGCCCCATTCTCACCTGATGAGGTGGACAGCTAGATGCAACTCAAGTATTTCTTTGGTCTAGGAAAGGTTGCATTCCAGGATACATAGGGAATGGTTGAGTAATCAGTCCATTACCAGCATTTTTTCTATAAAAAGAGGAGGGATTATTGCTTTTTTAAAAACCTTGATAGAGGCTGAGAGTCTCCACATGGCTAATTGCCCTCAAATTATCAGCATCTTGTGTTTGGCCACAGTGCATACTAACCGTGCTGTACTTGGAGAAGCCAAGTGAGGTAAATAAACCTGGTCAGCCAGACCTACCACTTGACTCAGAGAATCACTAGGAATCCATTTCATGTTAAGGAACCCCTCTGCGGACAGACTCATTTATTTATGTAGTCTTATTTATTCATTTACTTATTTATTTAAAACATTGGCTCCCAATCCAAAGTGAAAAAAACATCTAAAATCATGGTAAAAAGATAAAACTTGACTGACTGTGAATTCACTAAAAGCAACACAACAGTTCTAATGCACGATGATCCAATTTTCTCCTAGCTAGGAAGCCTCCCATCAAATGGCAATACAGGTTGTCCTTAACTTATAGCAGGTCACTTAGCAACCATTCTAAGTAAAGACCATCCCGAAAAAGGGGACCTGTGACCTGGATTCAACGTTCCAATGGATGGGTACCTTCCTCGGTCATGTGGGGCATATTCAGGTGGTGTTTCAGACATCTGGTATGCCAAGATCAACCACCTTGGCTTAGACAGATAAGGGGCTACATCTGCACAATAAGCAAGTAAGCATAGTCAAGAAAACACCCCAACTTTAACATTTCACCAACTTAAACCTCCAGCACCCTTCCCCCCAGGAATATACTAAGGAACAACTAAGACCATCGGCCAGTCTCTCCTTTTAATGCTTTTCTTTTGGCGCACATTGGATTCTACAGCATTTTTTAATCATAATCAGACTGCATCTGAGCAAGTTGTGAATTCTTGTGTGGTGTATCTAGCTCTTTGTGCTAAATTCTTTAGAAGGTCCCTCCTTCCTTCTGAGACAGATCAGCTCTGAAGACCCTTGGATTACTGATATCAACACAAGCCCAAATAATGAAGTCTCTGCAAGCAAACAACCCAGATTAGAGAACATCAAGGACCCCACAACCAAGCTCAGTAGTATAAAATATTTGTAGCTCAGGATTGATCTGTGAGGTTCTTGGTGCTCTCTGAGCTTGATGGTTTTCTTGCGGATACTTCATGACCCATCTAGGGAACATTATCAGTTCTACAAGGGAGTGGACTTTACTATTTATATGGAATAGCTTGCTCTGCCAATGTTGATGGTGTGCTTTTCTCCTTGATAATACCTTGATTAGGGTGTTGTTTTCCCACTTGATTCTTTGTCTTGTGTTAATCCCTGCTTATCTAGTTATTGGCTGCTGGAGAGGATGGTTGATGACAGAATTCTCTAATTTATTTATTTATTTATTTATTTATTTGATTTGCCAATTGTTTACAAGATAATAAGTATAAGTGTATACATAGTTGTGAATACATGAAATGGGTACATATAAGAAAGATAAAAGAAGAATAAGAGAAACAATAGGACAGGGACGGTAGGCACGTTGGTGCGCTTATGCACGCCCCCTACAGACCTCTTAGGAAAGGGGTGAGGTCAATAGTAGACAGTCTAAGGTTAAAGTTTTTGGGGTTTGGGGAAGAAACTACAGAGTCGGGTAGAGTATTCCAGACATTGACCACTCTATTGCTGAAGTCGTATTTCCTGCAATCAAGTTTGGTGCGGTTAACTTTGAGTTTGTATCTATTGTGTGCTCTTGTGTTGTTATGGTTGAAGCTGAAGTATTCATTGACAGGTAGGACATTTTTCTTAATTCCTGGGATTCTCTTGTATTTTTGGATTTAGCTTGATGTAGGATGCTCATAGTTTCCCAGCTGAAACTGTGGTTCTTACTGCCAGTGTGTTAAGAGATTAAGGAGTTTTCACTTGGTCTTCTGACTGCTAGTTGGTGTTCAGTGATGCGCTATGCTAGTTTCCCCGTCTGTTATAGTCCTAACCCTGAATGGTGCAGATGACTCCTGATTTTTTTTTCCTTCTGAGTCTTTTGGTTTATTTAAGATATTTCAGAGAGCTTTAATTGGTTTGTGTGCTACAGTGATGTTGCATGTTCTAATGGTGTGTTGATGGTTTCATAGATGTTTTTGATGTTGGAGTGTCATATATAACCCATTTCCACCCAACTAGGGAACATCATCGATGCTGCCTGAATTGGTTCATTTTGGATTTGGTTCATATATTTTTGGGGGCACCGGGAGTCCTCAATGAATGACAACACACAAGAGAAAAATTCAGAGCATCATCTGCACTTGGATTAGAGTTTATTGATTAGTGACACCACATGGAAAAGAAAGCCTGACGCACAGGCTTGTTCTGTGGGTCAGCAGGCTGATCTTGTAGTAGTCAGGGAGATTCTGACTTACAACCTTCAAGGTGTTTCCAGCTACATTCAGTACAGAGCCATCTTGCACAGATAGGATTGTTTTAGTCGACAATGCAGGTCATTCCATCTTTTATAGTCTAGAAGAAATCAAATGACCGATGAGACTTTTATTGCAATTTTTTGTAATGATCTCACCATTTGTACCTAAGAAAACAGGATGTATTGTCACAAAGGATTAACTTTTTTGGATAGCAACATTAAAACACATAGGTTTGCCACTGTAGTTTACAGGTAGTCCTCAACATACAACTATTCATTTAGTGACCGTTCAAAGTTACAGTGGCGCTGAAAAAAATGATTTATGACTGGTTTTGACATAACTGTTGCAGTACTCTTATGATCAATTTGGACATTTGGTGACTGGCATATATTTATGATGGTTGCAGTGTTCTGAGTTCCTGTGGTCCCTTTTTGTGACTTTAATGGGGAAGCCAGATTTGCTTAACAGCCCTGAGACAGCTGATGCTTCTCATGGGATGCTACTGCTTGGTTTCTATTCCTCTGAGTTCTCTCCCTACGTCCCTACCCCCACTGCTCCCCACCCCCCAGTTACTGATGTCAGGCTGTCAGCTAGCTTAACAGAAGAGCAGCCATGACACGAGTGTTGTTGAGATCTTCGGAGAAAGGAGTGAGGAAGGATAATAGGTGGCATTACACCCAGGGCAAAATCAATATGTCCCATTCTGATGATCTTAGAATGTTTCTTTATTGAGCTTAACTGGGTTCAGTTTCTTTCGAGGCCTCAATACAGGTTTTATGAGCTTCCCTTTTCACTGGAAAACAACACCATCATTTCAGTCGCGATGCTGTCGGTAATATTTAATTCTCCAGGGTCAGGATTTGAAACGGGTTAAAGCAAAACTGGGAAAGATGCTAAAAGTAGGGAAAATCATCTCTCTGGATCCCATTATGGCTGGGTGCACTTAATTTGCTTAGTGAATTAAGGTGTTAAATGGATTTTGTGCAATAAACTGACCTCCTGGTTAAGTAAAGTTTGCACATCTTTGTAAGCCATGGAAAAAAAATCAATCCTAACAAAATTAACCTAGGTCTACTTGATTCAGTTGGAAAGCCAGCAGCTACAATATAATATGCAAAGCTCAAGTATTGTATTAGATTTTGTGCATGTCTATAGGGATGTGGATTAACACATGTTGTCCAAACCAACTTTGACAGTAAGCTTTTATTCCATATTTTGGCCAATTCGGAATATTGGTGCAAAAAGCCACCAACTTTTTCAAAAAGTCTTCAGTAATTGATTTGATAGGTGAATGTCTATGGAGATTCTCAGTCATTCCAATCATGGTTGACCCAAAGGTGCTTTTTCCAAAAGGCAACTGGAATTCCATGATGAACTAAAGAAGCTTCTTGGATGAGAAGCTAAACATTTTCAAAGAGAAGACCAAGAAAGAACAGTTGCCTTTTGGAAAAAAAACACCTTTGGGACTATTTGGTAATTGGTTCCCCCTAGCAGCATGGAAATTACTGATCTTCCTGTGTTTGATGGAGATGATGGCAAAGCTGTTTGTTTTGGCTATCATCTTCTAACATGATTACCTTCTATTGCATGGGTGGAGAATGATAGCCCTGGATCAGGAATTCTGGGAATTGAAGTCCACAAGTCATAAAGGGCCATCCTTCCCCACCTCTGCTCTATTGGATGGGTGCATACACTCTTTAGAGTCATTAGTGATAGAAATGGTCCCTATGTGTACATAAAGTACTAAATAGGATTCATTCAGAAACGAAGACCCTGGGTTTTGTGAATGCAGTCTCTTGACTTCATGCATATTGGCTATGAAGGATTGGAAGGTTGTGCATCTTCACACATCTGGAGAACACGTGCTTGAGAAATCTGATATATTAGAACAGAAAACCTTCTCCTTACCCAGGCTGCATAGTGCAAAACAATTCCGAGCCCCTGTAGTGTTGGAAGAGAAACCGGGTGTCCAAGGAAGGTAATCCACCAGGGCTGAATCTAGCCATCTCACTCGTGGCTGTAGAGATAGAAAGCAACAGTGGTGTCATCTCTCCAAGTGTTTTTCTGAATCTTGCAGAAATCAGGATATTTCGCCTCAACTATACTTCTCAACAGCAGAAGGGTCAAATGCAAGGGGGATCAAGTTGACCTAGGGGACAACCGCTTAAGTATAAGCCAGCAGTGTTCTTCAGCTGTTCCCCCCCCCCCCCCCCCCCAAAAAAACAACAACAACAACCAAGAGAGGCTCAAGATCCGAAAAGGTGATAGCATTGCTTAATACTGCACTAGTGAGGCCACACATAGAATACTTAGAATCCAGTTCTGGCCAGCACGATAGAAAAAACATGTTGAGGCTTTTGAAAGAGTACAGAGAAGAGCAACAAAGATTAGAGGGCTGAAGGCTGAGACATATAATTAACTGTTGCAGGAAGTGAGTATGTCTAGTCTAATGAAGAGAAGGATTAGGCGGTGATGTGATAGCAGTCTTCCAATATTTGAGGGGTTGCCACACAGCAGAGGGGACTATCTATTCTTCAAAGCCCCTGTGGGTGGGACAAGAAGTAATGGGTGGAAGATTATCAAAGAGTGATCCAGCCTAGTATGAAATTTTCTTACAGTGAGGACAATTAATCAGTGGAACGCCTTGCCTCCAGAAGTTGTGTGTGCTCCATCACTGGAGACTTTCAAAAATAGATTACACAACCACTGGGGTGGTGGTCCAGTCTAGCACAATACCACTGAAAAAGAAAAACAAGAAATCCAAGAAGAAACCAGCATGGTTACACAAATATCTCTCCGATAAACTGAAAGATAAGAAGGACAAGTACAAAAATTGTAAAGAGGGACACATAACTAATGCAGAATATCAGCAGATACCCCGAACCTGCAAAGATAAACTCAGGAAAGCAAAGACTCAAAATGTACAAAGACTTTCAACAAAAGTCCAAGATAATGAAAAAAGTTTCTTACAACATAATACAGGATAATGGTCGGTCCAGCAAAAAGAGAAGATGGTAAGGAAGTAACAGGCAGTAGAGAGAAAGCAGAGCTACATAACTCATTCCTTGCATCAGTCAATATGAAAAGAAACCATAACCCAACCTACCAACACCATAAAAGACAAACTAAAAATAATAATTAAAAAAAAACAAGGAAAATGGTAAGAGAACACCTGTATATCTTGAATATAAATTACTGGGACCTGATGGATTACATCCCAGAGTTCTGAAGATGATAACAGTTGTTGTCTCAGAACCATTGTACCATATGTTTGAAAAAAATCCTGAGCACTGGGAAACTACTGGTGTATTGGAAAAGAGCTGATGTGGTTCCCATCTTCAAGAAAGGGGGAAAAAACAGATCCTAGGAAGTTACAGATCAATCAGCCTTGCATCAATACCTGGGAAGACACTGGAAAAAATAACAATAAAACAGATCTGCAAACATTAAGAAATGAAGTTATAACCAGAAGCTAGCATGGGTTTGTTCAAAACAGGTCATGCCAAATCAATCTTATTTCATTCTTTGACAAAGTGACTAAATTAGTAGAGCAGCAAAATGCTGTGGACATAGTATACTTAGACTTCAGTAAGGCATTTGACAAAGTAGAACACAACCTACTTCATGGTAAACTAGAAAAATGTGGGATAGACAGCATCACCACCAGATGGATTTGTAACTGCCTGACAAACCGTTACTCAACAAGTAGTTTAAATGGTACCATATCCATATGGAGGGAAGAAAGTAGTGGTTCCATCTTATGCTGAGTACTTTTCAGTATTTTCACAAATAGTTTAGATGAGGGAATAGAAGGAGAACTCATCAATTTTGCAGATGACACTAAGTTGGCAGGAATAGCCAACACCCCAGAACACAAGCTCAGGATCCAAAAAGATACTAATAGACTTAAACAATGGCCCCTATGCAACAAAATGAAATTTAATGTGGAGAAAAGCAAGGATTTACACCTAAGCAAAAACACAAAATAAAAACCAAAGATTCAAATATAAATTAGGCAAAATCTGGCTCAAAAACAGTAACTGTGAGAGGGACCATCCTTTAGTCAGATCACATCTGAAATCCTACATCCAGTTTGAGTCACAACATTACAAAAAAGATGTTGAGACTTTGGGAAAAGTGCAAAGAAGAGCAACTAATAATTAGATACCTGGAGATAAAAATATATGAAGAATGATTGTAGGAATTGATTATGGTCAGCTGGGAGAAATGAAGGACTAGGGGTGACATGATAGCAGTATCTGTGGTGCTACCACAAAGAAGACTGGGCCTACCTATTCTCCAAAGCACCAGAAGGCAGGGCAAGAAAGAATGGATGGAAACTAATAAAGAGAGAGGCAACTGGAATGAAGGAGAAATTCCCTAACTGTGAGAGCAATTAAGTAGTAGGATGGATTGTTTACAGAAGTTATGGGTGCTCCATCATTGGAGGTTTTTAAGAAGAGACTGGACACTCATTTGACTAAAATGGTAGAGGGTCTCCTGCTTGGACAGGGGTAATGAAGAAAGTTAGCACCTAACCCCTCCTACAAGAATGAAATATTTTTAGGACACATTAAAAAAGCAGAATAATTGTATTTCCCTGGATGATAAAAGAAGAAATATGTTTCATTGCCCCTGTTAGGAATGTAAGTGGCCTAACAGCTATTTGGGATGGAAATATAAAAACCAGGATAGACATTTTAATACTGTCTCTTTAAGAGCATGCTAAAAACTGCAATTGGGTGTGGTTACTCAAACGGCCATAAGATGGAGCCAGAAACCTGGGTTGTTTTAGTCTCAGAAGAGAGTGTATCTCAGTGAGTCTTTTTTCCTTCTGTTGGAGAGTATTGCCGTTCCTCATATTAGACTGTTATACATGGATTTGATGTAAGTCTGATACTGAACTGTTTTTGACACTGGATTTTGTTATTGGATTATCCCTGGATTGAAAACTGACTGATTTTACTTGTGAATGACTTTGGACTGCCTATTTTGAACTTTGCTTAACGTTTCTGGAAATAAAAACCTACATTTATTGTACAGTATATCTGTGTACTGTGTGTGTATTATTCAAACACTTCTCTCAAATACGTCTCCCTGTATGCGTTCATTCTCCTAACGGGGAATTACCTCAACAGCCCCCAGCAGATATTTGGTGCCCATTAAGAAAAACTGGGCCAGCCTATCTACAAGACAAAAGACCTCCAGTTCCAGGGTGATGGGATTAAGACATGACCCTCCAGGACATAATAGGATTAACCCATCTAGTAGCAGAGTTCACCACATGGCACAATCACTGGGGACACTGCATCCCCCAGGAAGCTTCAACCAAGCCTGGGACTCAGACAGCCTATAAAGTTAGCTGTAACCCTTACAACAGCCAATAGAACACATGTTCTTGCTGTGTGTTTCCCACTTCCAACTGGCTTCCACTCAAAATGTCTTAAGAGGTCTCCCAGAAGAAAAAGAGTGTAGAAGAGAAAGCCAAAGAGGTCTGGAAATACTTCCAAGATATCCCACTTCACTTAAGGGCCTTCTTTCCAGTCATAGCTGTTGATCAGCATCCAAACACAGGTGATGTTGATGAAAGTTCCTATGTTGAACTGTGTGAATTGGGACACAGGTACCCTGGGTGTGCAAAGACTATGGTAGACTTTGGGACTGTGACAGAGTTTGTTAAAAATGCTTATACTCATTGATGAGAGGAAATGATACAGATATTTTTGTAATTCCTCTGTTTATCTACTCTTGCGCAATCAGCGTGTGTTTCCCTTACTTATTCTACATGATTCCTAGTGACCACTTGCTCCCCTCGGTCTCCCTTGAGAAGCAAGGGCTGGATATATGATCTATTCCTTCTATATAGTCCACTATCAGGTCCTTGGTCTCTTTTTTTATAAATAAATTTTATTGATTTTGGTCTTATTGGTGTTGAGGACCAAGTTATTGTCTCCCCACCATGAAAGCTACCGGTCCACCTCGTCTTGGTAGGCAGATCCATCCCCCCCAGAGATGAGTCCCACCACTATTGTATCATCAGCAAATTTAGTAATAGTATTACTTTACTGTTGTAAAGTCCTGGTTGAATTGTCCCATGATGTAAATCCATTGACAAATTGGCCTATTCTTGTCACCTCCTCCCTTCCCACCACAGCTTTTTACTGTCTTAAGATATACCACTCACTCCCTTCCTTTCCCAACTTCTACTCACGTTTGCGCCCTTGATTTTGTACAATCCAATCCAGATTCTAAATCTCTCTGCATAGTTGGTGAGTAGAAAAGAAGATATGGTGTCCATTTCCCGTTCGCTGAGAATAGAGGCAAGGTGGGCCCATTTCCCAAAGGTAGCGCATTCTGTCTGGGAGACACCAAGCAGACAGAGGTTAGGGCTTCCTGCTTTAGATGCTGACCCTGTCCTTTATAACAGGGTGTTCAAACTTTGCCACTTTAAGACTTGCGGACTTCAACTTCCAGAATTTCCCAGTCAGCATGTCTGACTGTCAAATTGTGGGGGTTGAAGTCCGCAAGTCTTAAACTGCCCAAGTTTGGAGAGCCCTGATTTAGAGCCCTCTGTCAGTTCCACAAGTCTAGGTCATCCAGGCTCACTGCAGTATTTATCACATCCAACTCTATGATTCTGTATTCTAATATGCATAAATATGCACAATTAGCAAATATCAAGCTACTTCCCTTCCCATCTACTTTTACTATCATCGAGAAAGAGTCTTCATAAAGAGAAACTTATCAGTTATGCTGGCAAAGATAAACCATACCAGAATTGAGGACTTCAAGGTTGCCTCAATTAGCACACATTCCTTCTTTGATTCTATTTTGAAACCCTGCTCCCATGCCTCCAAGAATTTGTTTCCCTTGTGGTAGAAGCTTCATCTTTCAATATCCTCTCTCTGCTGTACCCCATGAGGTTACTTTCATCGCTCCTCAGTCCTACCATGA